GCCATTTCTCCGCCAATATTTAGCCTTTTTCAAAATTTTTTTTCAGAAATTAGAGATTATTCTTCGACCACTATTTTGACCCAAAAATCCAAATTTGACGAAAATTGCCGACCCGAAGGTATACTGTAACCTTAACCAGAGTACAGTGCACCACGAGCAACATGAGGATGTCACACCATCTTTTCGCGTGGATTCCAGTGAGAAAGGTTTAATAGTAGTTATGTATTGCTCTGACTCACCTGTAAAACGGTGTGAAGGAGATCGTTCTTGACTTTCACAACTCTTGCTCTTGTGAAAGTTTGTAAATCTGGACGATTAATTGTGACATCTTAACTTTAAACTTAGTATGTCATTTCTTAGCAGTCTCACCGCCGTGGTCGAATTCTTAAATGAAGAGATCTAGAAATCTTCATTACTAAAGCTTGTAGAGTAACTAAAACAAACAGAAACCGTAGAACATGCTAATTTCATATATGCTGCGATCTATTCCTTTTCATCCAAACATGAATCGTGTAAGCTAAAGCTTTAGCATTTTCACACATCACGATGGATGCGTCCTCAACACAGTCTGTCAACATTCTAGACACATTTAATGGGTACCAGTACAGAATTTATAAGTTAGATTTCTGCTCCTACAATTTCTACATCTTTCGATTTTCGCGATCTGGTAAAGGGAAGGTTTAGTGATGTGTACCGTTTTATGTCCAAACATAGTTCAGATCACTATATGCTTTTTTGTCGCGATCCCTTGTCACACCTCGCCATCGACGCGTCATTGTGCATGAAGTTGACTCGAACAAGGAAAGATTCCCCACAATTTGACACTACTTTAAGAATTAAAGGTTAATGTTAAGTCTTGGAACTGGCAGGTAGATGAATCACAGCGTAAAATGTCACTATCAACAGAATGTGCCGCAGCATTACTATCTTTTAGACACCCTAGTATATTATGTCTTAAACAAAGCAGGCGGTCCACAGGTTATTTATCCGTTGCTTACCTGATTTGCCAGCTGACTTGCCAATCCGAAAGGCCGCTGTGCCAAATGCGAAGACAGTGGACGAGCCACATGCTTCGATGACCTTATACCAAACACAGATGATGGAAAAACACTTCTGACCTCTTGCTGCATAACCCAACTGTAAGGAGAGGTTTCTTGATAAACAGTTATTTCACAATGGTTCATATTGCGAGCGACTGTCCAAGTTCTACGGCGCCATAATACTGATCACGGGCCACGCATATACTGACTATACATTACGAATACCATAAATCCTCGAATTAGCATCCCCCCTTGAATAAGTGCCCCCTTCAAATAAGCGCCTCTCCTATCGGCCAAAATTTAAAATAAGTGCCTGCCCTCAAATAAGCGCCCCCTCCCGTCCCCCCATTTTGTGGACGAGTAATGGAACAATAAAGAATGTATCGTTTTCGTTGTGTAGTACTAGATTTGTTCATTGTTTCAATTTGTGAACACATCAAGTTTGGAAAAAAATTACAAATACTAACGGTGCCGCGATTTAAACTTTAGGATCAGCTTTTTATGTTGATAAACAGCTTATGTTGTTGTTTATGCCCAGATGATGTATTAAAAAAAATGATCATGTCAGGCCACGATTTGGGAAAAATTAAATAAGGGCCCTTCCTCGATTAAGCACCCCCAGTCGAATAAGCACCCTCCGTCTTCTCCTAAATTTGAAATAACCACCCCGGGCACTAATTCCAGGATTTACAACAACTTGTAACTAATACAACACACTTGACAATAATTATTACTAACAATAACTGACAATAATGTGGGCATGCATAGGTCATAGTTCATCACATCTTCCCTTTCTCAAAAAAAAGCAAGTTTGACTCATCGCTCATAAGGACATTGTTCTGACTGATTAGCTAGTCATGACATTACGTAACAGTCAGGAGGTTTCGTCCATCTTGTAGATATCCTGATCTTCTGCTCAGCTGATGGGCCTGGTGCAGGCGTAGAATCAGTTGCAAGGGGCAATGCTTCCGGTGTAGCCCCAGGGTGTGGCACCAAGGGTTCGGGGATCTGCGTCGCAAGATCAGCATGAGTTCAACGCAATGGACTCAGCAACTTCTTACAACGACTGTGAAGAAGGGGGTTCAAAGTCTTCCAACGGGGTCTGTTTTGAATTCCATTTTTAATATAGACCATAATTTAACAAAAGCCTTGTTAAGTAATTTTCTGTCCAAATGCCATATCCTGATGCCCTTTTGATAAAAAAAACCTTACTGAAACCCCTGCTTTAAGTCATGTCAATTCCTATCCACTTTAATGAAACATGCAGCCATGTAATAAAATCTCTCCTTCTCATCAGATGCAAATGGAGATAAAGCTTCACCATCCTCTTCAGATTGCACAGAAGTAGACAGTGACAGGAAAGGAGATCTGGCAATAGGACCAAGAGGTTAGTGTTTCTTCATGTTCAATACATGCTGACTTTGTAATGATGTGTGCACTGATCATGGTGCAAAAGAGCAACAAAGCTGTTAAGGGGAGTGTTTGATTGACCTTGTCCTGGAATAAGAGTATATTCCAGATTATTCCAGAGTAGCCATTCTGGCCTTAAATACCTCAATAAAACCCCTTAAACAATAATTCAGTTTCTGAAATAATTTACCCCTTGGATGTATTCTCCTTCAGTGATGCACTGAGCTGTTTTCTTCTGTATAAAGGTTAGCAAAGGCTTAAACTGGACCATTTGTGAGTACATGTATCAAACTCTATCAGTGGATCACAAAATTAAAATCAATAATGTATATTAATGTAGGTTTAATTGGTCTGCATCAGATTTACTTGAGGGCTTTCCGATATAAATTTCTTTTGATTGTCTGTACTGGGGTAACAACATGTTTAAAGCTCAGGCACCTAACTACCTCTTTTTCTACTGCACCTGTGTATATTTTTCTAGTATGACAAAGAAATCATATAAATATTGATTTTTTGATGTGACTGAAAATACTACTTCCAGTGTTGCAATCACAGATAGAAATTCTCTAAGATTTTTTTGCCTACTTACTGTTGATTTAGAAAATCAATAACACGACAGCAAGTGGGGTTGTAGCACAAGCAGTAATGAACTTTAACATTGTAACTCTGATGAAGGTGGACAGAAGCCATTCAAAATTTAGAACTGAAAAGAAAATTAACAGATCGGAAAAAAAATTCTTAGAGATTGAATTTTTGAAAGACTGATTTCTTCTTTTGTATTTCCTTTCATCAATGAGTTCATTTACATCATTTCGTTATGCCTATTGTTACATACGGTGCTATAATAATAGCAAATACAGCATTTGAATTCTCCTCAATTCTCCAGTGCGTTTCCTGTCTTAAAAATTTCATTACGGTAACCCCCTTCGGGAAATGCTTTGTTAGCTTCTATTGTTCATATTCAAGACTTTTTGGAGACTTTCATGCGACAATCTTCTCAATGTAAATTATTTCTGCCGTCAGACATGCTTACTACTAGCTTCGAGATAATACAGCATTCCCTGTTGCATTCTTCCTCTGGGTGACATTTTAAAAGATGTTAAAAGATTTGTTCAGGATCGATTAACATTTTGGCTTTTAAGCATCATATAGCTTAAAAGAGTTTGATTTGAGCATCGTTGCTTTTAAGATTTCGATGGCCATATTTCCCGGCTTAAAAACTTTCCATTTTTTGACTCCACAAAGATATCCACAAAGGTATCTTTGTGTAAAGCTTGAATGAAAACCATTATTATGCTGTGTTACTCTATGAAAACCTGCCAAATGTGTCCTTAAGACTCTGGGACAAAAACAATACTTGGTCCTCGAAAAGGGAGCAATTTTCTGAGAGAACCCTGTCTTGGATCATTGATCCTGATCTGGATCATTCCAAAAGAATATTGCGTCCCTTTTATCAAATGAAGCAGCCACCATTTTTATTTNAAAAACAATACTTGGTCCTTGAAAAGGGAGCAATTTTCTGAGTGAACCCTGTCTTGGATCATTCATCCTGATCTGGATCATTCTAAAAGAATATTGCGTCCCTTTTGTCAAATGAAGCAGCCACCATTTTTATTTGTTGTTTTACAAAAGGCTGCAATTTGAAGAGGCAGTTTCATGATTATTCCGGATTGTTTCAATATTCAGCTCTCCTGTAAGATTCTTCCGAAAATTAGAAGTAGATTGAGAAAACTTCCAAGTAGCTGGTGAAGCTGAGTGGACGTCATATCCAGTGCACTTATGTCCAGGATTGAGCGCAAGTATTGTTTCATTAGTACTTCATATTTGGCAGGGTTGTTTGACATTTTCATATTACTTCATATTTTACAGAATTGTGTGTGTTTTTGAAAAAAGCCCTCAACCCCCCCCCCCCCCTGAATCAAACAGACAAACAGACACGGCGTAATTCCTACACTTTTATTCCAGAATGAGGTCAATCAAAAATGAAATGCACACTAAGTACGGTTGTTAGGAATAAGCGCAAAATTGTCCTGGCGATCGTTTCCTTTACATAGGCTGTAGACAGCAGCAGTCTACATGAATGGCAAACTACAGAAATGTTGTCCTTAAATTTGAACTTAACTTGCTCTTAGGAACAATATGCTAAGTAAATCATTACAGTACAGTGTAATGCTACTTAATACAGTTACATACTTAAGGCATTTTCTAATTTTATTTTTCCCTTAACTGTCAAATTTCTTGCATGATCATTGGCTGATTTCTATTGTCAATTTACAATATATTCATGCTTTCGCTAGTCTAGTCCCTGAACTCTCTTTTAATTTCTACTCTCTACTGAACCCTGGTGCAAGAGGAGAGATTCAATGATACCTTGCATGCATATGTTCAGAATGCCACCATTTACGCCCCTGAAAAATAGAAATTAATATATAAGCGTGGAGCTAGTAAGATTTGTTGACACAATGGTGGGTCAGCAATAGGTGTTTTTCTGTGGTGAACCATATTTTAGCTGAGTCATCATGTCACATTACACCTAGTCTCGATTTCCGCCGTTCTCTCGGGTCTGGTCCTCGAGTGTCCTCCCCAAGGGGGAAGAGCCCGGACTCCTTTCCCGAACAGCAACTGGTAATCGAGGCTACACATCAGGAGGAGNCACCCCCCCTCTTGCTCAAGGTCTGGATCCGCCACTGATATGTGCAAAGCGTCTTTGTACCCTTCATTTATAAAATGCTAATCTTAAATTTAGAAAAGGTCAGTGCTGGTATAATAAAATTTGAAATGACCACAAGGAAAAGAGTTAAAAAACCAACAAGAAATTAACCACAAGTCTTATACAGAACACAGATGAAAAACCGCTTCGGTTCCCGTAGAGCAACAGAGGAAAGAAATGTCTGAACACCGGATAACGATTACAGATGTCACGCACCATATGGGGCACCCGCTGTATACCTGGATGTTTTGAATACATTCCGTTTATACCAGAATTGGGATGATACATGTAGTAGCTGAATCAAACAGACAAACAGACACGGCGTAATTCCTTTACTTTTATTCCAGAGTGAGGTCAATCAAACATGAAATGCACACTAAGCACGGTTGTTGGGAATAAGCACAAAATTTTCCTGGCGATCGTTTCCTTTACATAGGCTGTAGATAGCAGTAGTCTACATGAATGGCAAACTGCAATAATGTTGTCCCTAAATTTGAACTTAACTTGCTCTTAGGAATAATATGCTAAATAAATCATTACAGTGCAGTGTAATGCTACTTAATACAGTTACATTTTTCTAATTTTATTTTTGCCATAACTGTCAAATTTCTTGCATGATCATTGGCTGATTTCTATTGTCAATTTACAATATATTCATGCTTTCGCTAGTCTAGTTCCTGAAAACTCTTTTAATTTCTACTCTCTACTGAACCCTGGTGCAAGAGGAGAGATTCAGTGCCACCATTTACGCCCCTGAAAAATAGAAATTAATATAGAAGCGTGGAGCTAGTAAGATTTGTTGACATAATGGGGGTTCAGCAACAGGTGTTTTTCTGTGATGAACCATATTTTAGCTTAGTCATCATGTCACATTATGCCTAGTCTCGATTTCCGCCATTCTCTCGGGTCTGGTCCCCGAGTGTCCTTCCTGAGGGGGAAGAGCCCGGGCTCCTTTCCCGAACAGCAACTGGTAATCGAGGCTACACATCAGGAGCCCAAGAAGCGTTTTCAGGTACTGATCAAATCCTCATGCAAAAGTGGTGGACTTGTTTATTGAAAATTTTAAACGTGCATATATCACATAATCATACCTTGATTTAGGCTTGGCATGGTTTTACACGCTTTTTCATTCTTGCACGCATAGCAACTATTTTTTGGCATACCATCTCTCGAAAATTTAAGCACAACTGATTTCTCTACGGTCGAACTCAAAGATGGATGTATTTCACATCAAACTAAAGTTGAGAGTATCAAGAAGTCATGCCGTGAGAGTTAAAGCGACTGTTTTGAATGCGGACCAATTCAACCTGAAGTCACTACTCAGACTATTTAGAGCTGATTGACTGCACTCGTCGTTTGAATTATATATCCCGTAAATTGGGAAACATGCAAGGTCCCCAGGAAAAATCGCCTATTTCACAGTTTAACTGGTGTTTCAGCCGTTTAAATAGCATCTATTTTCCGCCATACACGTAACATGAATACGGGTGTAATCAGCAAAAATTTAGTTGTAAACATTTTCCAATGAATATCAACGCTAGAAAACGTCATCTTGGCATTATTATCGAATAAGAAATAAAAAAATAATGGCGAGGTTCGTTTTTTTGTATAAATTATGTACAAGTGAGGTATGAATTTTAAACAGTTATATTTGTGATATTATTTGATATTTTGTAATTCCCACCTAGATCCGTCTTTGAAAAGCAAGTATCAAAATGAAGAGAACGTACTACACTCTGCTTCAATGGGTGGTAATGTCGCCATCATCGAGACAATGCTGTCACGTGGTTTTGATATCAATTCAAAAGATAGTAGTGGTGACACTCCCTTGATGATCGCGGCTTTCTCTGGCAAGATGGAGGCCGTAAACTATTTTTTAGACAAGGGAGCAGATGCGTCTTTGAAAGGCCAGTATGGAAGGAACTTACTGCACAACGCTTCCCGTGGTGGTAATGTCGCCATCATCGAAACAATGCTCTCACGTGGTTTTGATATCAATTCAAAAGATGGTCAAGGTAATACTCCCTTAATCATTGCGGCTGCGTTTGGCAAGATGGAGGCCGTAAACTATCTTTTAGACAAGGGAGCAGATGCGTCTTTGAAAGGCCAGGTTGGAAGGAACTTACTGCACGGCGCTTCCTATGGTGGTAATGTCGCCATCATCGAAACAACGCTGTCACGTGGTTTTGATATCAATTCAAAAGATAGTTATGGTAACACTCCCTTGATGACCGCGGCTTACACTGGCAAGACGGAGGCCGTAAACTATCTTTTAGACAAGGGAGCGGATGCGTCTTTGAAAGGCCAGTATGGAAGGAACTTACTGCACAACGCTTCCGATGGTGGTAATGTCGTCATCATCGAGACAATGCTGTCACGTGGCTTTGATATCAATTCAAAAGATAGTAATGGTGACACTCCGTTGACGATCGCGGCAGGTCGTGGTAACGCTGAAGCTGTGAATTATATACTCAGCAGGGGAGCACGTTAGTCTTCTACTTCATATTTATATTGCCGTCATTTTTAAGACGGCACATTAGCAGTTAGTGTTTTCACGCTCAATGTTGTGATAAAATTAGTGAGAAATTTTGGTAACTTGTGTAGAGTTTGAACTCACATATTTAGGGTTATTAAGAGTGTTACTCTGACAGCTGTATTGGCTCCTCAAGGAGGAATAGAATAGTGAATTCGTTATTTTCTGTAATGGAACATTCAAAGTCACGCAACAATGATTTCAGGATATATTGTTTTACTGTGTTCACAGAGAGCAGAGGAACTAGGGATCTACAACTTTAAGTATAGGTTTTCATGAATTTCCCTATAGTCAAATATATCAATTTCAATGTTATTAATTTCAAATTCCCACAGCATATCGCAAGGTATCAGTATATTTAGTTGGTAGAATGAAGTAATAGCTGATAGTATCTTAATTCCATAGCACCCAGTTGATTTTCACGGTAGTTTCTGTNACAGTGCGGTGCTTTTTTATTCTTTATTTAACCGTGTATATGGATATACATGAAATTATTAATTGTGACGTCTTTTAATAGATATATTTACCTTAACAGAGTTTCCGTAGATTTGTTAATGTTTAATCAACATGTTAGTAGATTTATATGTTTTTAAAACGGAGTTTAATTTAGTATATTCCTTTTCTACCAGAGTTTTAGTATATTTGTATTTTTTACACAAAGTATTTGTATTTGTATTTTTTAATGGATGTTATAGCAGACTGATTTGTATGTTTGTAAAACAGGTGAAAGTTTTAACGCGAAAAAAATTAGTGACCTCAAAGTTGTTGGCGAAGACTTTGTTTTGTTTGTCATTACAACAGTAGTGTAGGATGGTCCTATAACATGCTTATAGCACGCTAAGTAAGCTCGTATTTTATAAGCATTATCACGTTGCTATGGCACTGTATTTATAACTCCTTAGGGTCCTTAAGTGTAATATAATGGTGGTGTTCAAGACTTCACTTAGTATGTCACCACTTAGACTGCAAAACAGTCGTTTTCTGACGTTTTCGGAAGGCGCGAAGCGCCATAAGGGCGATCCTCGCGTGTGAAGGGCGCGAGCCTCCACGCCCGTAGGGCGTTCCCGCGTTCGCAAAAAATACGGCTGTTTTGCAGTTAAGTCACCACTATAACACTGATCTTTCAATGCAATAACTTAGTACTTAACTGCACTAGGACTCAGGAGTACCAGTAGTTCATAGACTGTGACCATCCGTTGGTAAAATTAGCTGCGAAAAGAACTGGGTTTTTTTTTTGAGATTTTATTAGTAGTTAACTTGACATTGACATTTACAGTTCAAAGTACGCAGTAATTAAATAGTGTACATTTATGTACTTTAAAGTTTGTAATTTTCAGCTACATATTGACAGTAATTTACTTAAGGAGACGCTACGGATTAGTAAAAATATGCACACTAATAAGTTAACAAAGGCAAGGTAAAAGGAAACCACAGGAATAGGAAGAAAAACAAAGGAAAAAGTTAACAAAATATTTCCATGTTATATTAAACATTGTAATTTTATTTACAATAGCAATTTCTCGCGGTATATTAACTTTTTTTTCGTTTAGAAGTGCTAGGAAGTAGCTAAAGTAGACCAAGTTTTTTCATGCAAGCAGCTATTTTGCAATAATTTGCGTATTATTCAGACTGTATGTGTTCCATAGTCTCAAGATTCCGTATAAGACCATGCTATTTGATAAAGTGACGGCTTCCTTAGTTTTACTAACCCGCTAGTTTTGAAATGCGCTCCAAAAGGATGACATTAAAAACCAGTGTAAACACGTGATCGATNTGTAGGCTAGTCAACCCCATTTAACACTAACGAGTCTTGGCAAATTGTACATCAGAGGAAGCTAAAGAATATATAACTGAAGGGTGATTTAAAGTACTGGAAAATAAGCCCAAGTAATTCCTTGTAAGCGTTAGCTCTAGAAAGGAACTGATGATCGATAGTACTTGAAGCAAAGGAAAATTCTTTGACACAAGCGGGTCTCTGAATTAAATCACCGTTGCTCGTCTTGCTCTGCCGACTGAGTTACAAGGCCAGACAGTGGTGGTTGTACCCAGTCCCATAGCCTAGAATTAATTCTCTTCTTTCCAGCTTGTTATATAAGCGCAACATTGCATTCGTAATTGTACCCTACCATAAGGTTGCACTTTTGTACTTAAACAGAAAATGGCCGGGATGGTTTTTTTTCCAAAAACACTTGAAGACCTGAGGGCACTTGTGAGTCAAGTTTCAAATTTAGAAAAAGCTAGAGCTTGATATGTTAGGAAAAATAAGGCCATGAAAAAAAAACAAAAAAAACAATTCGTGTAAAAGGTAGGCTAGCTAGTAATCCTTAAATCCATGACAGTGCGGTGCTGTTTATTCTTTATATAACCGTGTATATGGATATTATGAAATTATTAGTTTTGACGACTCTTAATAGATATGTTTACCTCAACAGAGTTTTCGTAGATTTGAAAATGTTTAATCAATATATATGGTAGTGGATTTGTATTTTTTAAAACGGAGTTTAATTTAGTATAATCTTTTTTCACCAGAGTTTTAGTATATTTGTATTTTTGAAACAGTTTTTATATTTGCATTTTTAAATCGGTGTTATAGCAGACTGATTTGTATGTTTGTAAAACAGTGTTAACGCGAAAAAAAAGGAGTGAACTCAAAGTTGCTGGCGAAGACTTTGTTATTACAACAGTAGTGTAGGATGGTCCTATAACACGCTGATAGCACGCTAAGTAAGCTCGTATTTTATTAGCATTACCACGTTATGGCACTGTATTTATAACGCCTTAGGGTCCTTAAGTGTAACATAATGGTGGTGTTCAAGACTTCACTTAGTATGTCACTACTATGACACTGATCTTTCAATGCAATAACTTAGTATTTAACTGCAGTGGCAAGACTCAGGAGTATCAGTAGTTCATAGAGTGTGACCGTCCGCCATCCGTGGGTAAAATTAGCAGTGAAAAGAACTGTTTTAATTTTAATTTTAGTAGTAATTAAACTTGACACTGACATTTACAGTTCAAAGTACGTAGTAATTAAATAGTGGATATTTGTCTACTTTAAAGTTTGTAATTTTCAGCTACATATTGACAATAATTTTACTTAAGGAGACGCTAGGGATTAGTAAAAATATGCTCACTAATAAGTTAACAAAGGCGAGGTAAAAGGAAACTACAGGAATAGGAAGAAAAACAAAGGAACAAAGTTTACAAAGTATTTCCATGTTGTATTAAACATTGTAATTTTGTTTACAATAGCAATTTCTCGCGTTATATTAACATTTTTTTCTTTTAGAAGTGCTAGAAAGCTGCTAAAATAGACCAAGTTTTTTCATGCAGGCAGCTATTTTGCAATAATTTGCGTTTTATTCAGACTGTGTGTTCCATAGTCTCAATATTCCGTATAAGACCATGCTATTTGATAACGTGACGGCTTTCTTAGTTTTGAAATACGCTCCAAAAGGATGACATTAGAAAACAGTGTAAACACGTGATCGATGGAGCCTGTCAGTCAAACATTGAGGGCTTACATTATGATCACGTGTTTTGACTCTAAAGAGACTAACGTTAGTTGGAATACAAAAATGTGAAGAGTCTTGTATTGAAACATTGTTATTCTTATGTCATTCTTTATTTCGAACGGTAGTTCATAAATTAAAGCAATGAATGTTTTCTTGACTGAGCCACGTCTTAAGATTGCTCGCTGCGGTGGTGGGGGGTGAAAAGACATTTTCAACGGAGTATACATTTTTGGTGGAAATTGTGTTTGCGCTATTTTTGTTTTTGTCGTGTGAAGTTTGCGAAGAAAAAGTTTTTTTTTCGATTGCTCAATTTCATGGGGTTGGGATAGACTTGATTGATCCAAAATAGAGTTTGAAAGGGTTGGTTGAAATTGTTTGGAAAGTGATTTAAGGATAAAACATAACCATTATTATCAAGGAGGTCTTGAACGCGTGTAATGTTGCTTTCAAACCAATACTTCAAGAGTGGGCTCGAAAGGCGTATGTTGAACTTTGCCACGTCTCAACACTTCGGGATACGTCACTTCGCTTCTCGGGCAAATATTTGTTTTAAGAACATCAAATTTCCACGGGGCAACCATCAGCCGATAGTTCCTTGACAGAAACACTCAATTGTTTACGTAGACATCAAGAGAGAATACAATAAAAACCCGTGTGTAAGAACCTCATTTTTTCAAATCTGGCAAAATAGGTTCTTGTATTTTGTGGTAGTTATATTTGGCAATTTAGGCTAAGTATGTTCTTAATTACAGTAGGTTCCTAATTTCTCTGAGGGAGAGACAGGAGTTGATTACCAGAAAAAAAACTAAACTTGGGTTTCAAAGCATTTGGTCCTTGAATATACAGTATCAATTCACAACTGTATTATGTATGTCCTTGACAGGTAAATTTGCAATCTCAAAGTCACTCTCCTAGGTTAAAATGTTTATCATAATTCAACTGTAACACACAACAGGTTCTTATATTTGTGGGTATTAAAATGGCAAAGTTCTGCCAGCCGGTTCGAGAACCACTAAGTTCTTAGATGTGGGTTTTTACTGTATTTGTAAGAAAATTTCAGTAACAGTGCAGTGTCAGTAATGTATTGTCTTGTAAGTATTTCACCAGTATGTAATGTAATAAAATTAATGTAAGGGGTGAAACCCCGGGGTGCAATCTTAGTTCATTTAAGTAGTGAAGCCATACGTTTGTTTAGAGACATTCGTATGTTTCTTGCAGCTATCTGATCGAGCTTATGGTTCTCGAGCTCGATGTTTAGCTTTATTCCTGAATTCCTCTTGTTCATTTTAGTCGTTCTGGCACCACGATTCAAATGTAGCTGTTTACGTGCAAGTCTGTTGACTGTTTTGCGTGTTGTATATGCCATTTTTCAGCTTAGTTCAAGCAAATCAAGAGAGAATACAAGTCACGTCAGTATCAGTGTAATGACAGTAATGTATTGTCTTGTAAGTTTCGCCAGTATGTAATGTACTAAAAGTAATGTAAGGGGTGTAACCCCAAGGTGTAATCTTAGTTCATGTAAGTAGTGATCATAAGTAATGTATAGTTATTACATGTAACGTTCCTCAACTCAAGCAATGTTGTATTGTAAGGGATTAAACTTGAGTCTAATAAAAAAAAAGAGTGAATAATCTATATACTAGAATTCTAACTAAATTGATCCCAAATAATAATTTTCCAATATTATTCCTCTACATTCTAAGTGTTACTAAACCCTGTGCTTTAGCAGAACATCCTTCAGACTGAATTCTCATCAGACTGAAGTCTCATATCAACGAAAGTCCTTTTTTCATTGAATTATTCCATTATTTTTCTAAATCTTTGCCTGAAACTGTGGAGAAACAGGAATGTCACCATACACCTTACTCCAAAATGGCCGCCATTTTAGTGTTCTTTTGTTTGCCTTCAAATAACCCCTTGTTCTTAACCTTGAAATTATTAGTATTTTCCCTTGAGTGAGGCAACAAGGGCTTATCTGCAAGCAAACAGATGAACATTAAAATGGCGGCCATTTTGGAATAAGGTGTATTTTATTGACCACCTCAAGCCACTGTACACTATTGGATCAACCAATATGATTGCAGCATTTACCTAAATACTAGTAGAGTAGCCCATTTTACAGTTCCTTGCCTCGTGATCAAGGCATTGAACGGAAGGAAGGTTATAGTTAACTTTGTTATGATGCAAATCTTCCATTTTTCTTTTAATATTATTCTGAACTACTTTCTAATCTCCATCATCACAAGTGAGGTTAACCCCAGCTCCACTTTCATTCAGAGGCTCAATGTTGTCGCAAACACTTTTGAAACACAGACATCAAAGGCTGTTGAGAACCAGAAATTTAGTCAAACCAAAATGAAGCCAACAAAGTGAAGCAGTAAAAGACAAATGCGATGACACGATAGACGAAAAGAAAATTAAACAGCTAACTTTGACAAACAAATGGCCAGGAACTCCGCCACGGGAATATTGCTGAACTACACTAAATTCAGAAGGAAAGTATATATACAACAGGGCTGTCATTAAGTTTTGGGTCACCTGTAGCCTGGTTCTTTGTGGGTGAATTCTATCAACAACAGGCAATTTCACCTACAGCATCAAGGGAAAATCAAGCAGACTCGGCCTTAATGACAGCCTTGTACAATATACAAAATAAAAGCTAACAAGTAAAACAAAAGGCAAAATACAAAGAAAATTAATTACAAAAAACATAAACAAAATTTATTTATTTCAACAATTTGCTAGAGGCAGGTGAGACACAAAAGAACATTTTGTCCCCTACAAGGTGTGTCACCCTACCAGCCCACAAATTGAAAAAAATTGTAAAAATACGTCAAAGAGAAAAAGTAAAATTTTTTGCGCTTACACTCGGTTTAGTTGAATTTCACTAACAATTATGATCTTCCCAACTAGTTTGTTGATACAACTTCAAAAGCGTGAAAAATAAAGTTCCCCACAAAGTTTAACCTCAATCAACACAATTTTGAGTGTGTTTACATTGAAATGATACTGGATAATAGCAAGTGTTCATAGCTTGCTAATAGCCTTTAATGTCGCCAAGGAAACAGGGTTTGTCATCCAGCTACCACCATCAACTATCAAGGTATTGGATGTGATGAAAGCTGATGCACCACTGGCAAGAAAGAGCGTAGCATCTGCCACATCTCGTCGAGTCCCCAGTCTTTGTAAAGGGGTATTCTGAACATAGTTCGGTGGAATTTGTTTACCGCCTGTGAAGGTAACAAGAGTAACAATAAGAAATTATTACTCTTTTTGAAGGCTTTGGTTCTTTGAAGTTGGTTGTGAGAGAAGATAAGTTTTGAGGTAAAAAAATGACAGTGAGGAGGATACGTGTGAGGTTCAAGCCCCACCCCATCCCCCCCCCCCAAAAAAAATTGTGTTTGATATTTGACTCCTCAAAAATTATTTTTATACTGACATTGCATTGAAATATGTATCTTTAAACTTACCACCCCTTCCTAGAGAAAATCCATTTAGACATGGTTCACCCTACTCCCCCTCCCCTGCCCTCAAATAATAACACTTGCCCCCCCCCCCAAAAAAAAAATCACTTATCTTGAAATCCTTCTGATGTAAAAACTGAAGGAAGCAGGTCCATGGCTGAGAGCCAAAGATTTTCCTGTCTGACTTAACAATGTATTCAATGACTACTTTATTATGAGCTTTGATGTCCTTCAGTTGGTAAATGAAGTGAGCAGCTTGAATAAATGCACAATAAATTACTGTACAGCTTACATATGTACCATGCCATGTACAATTTGTACCCAGTTGGCATGGTACCATCACTTAAATTGACTTTTCTTTTCCTGCACTGTCCCCAGTTTACTTAACAAATAAAGAAGCCTAAGCCGTGTATTATACTGTGATAAAACACAATGGGCATTTGAGAACACAAGGGAAATGTAGAAAACAAGAGCCACAGGCAGGTGTTTTCTACATTTCTCGAGTGTTCTCAAATTTCCGGAGTGTTTTATCACACTGTAATACACGGCTTAGGTTTCTTCTACATTTTATACTCTGATAAAACATGGGATTTTGACCAATCAGAGCGTGCACAAGGTCCTATCTATATTTTAAATATTTATAAAGAGTATGCCAGTTTAGGTTGTAATAACTATTAAACTTTTCAGCTAGGCCTGAGAAATTGGTCTGAAGAGGTGAGTAAAAATGAGCTTCCTGCAGGGGTGGGACTCATGTCAAAGACGCAAGAAGTTAGTTGGTAAAGCTTCTGTGCACAGGCTGAAAATTTTATGAACATACTAACCTAATCTACGGAAACCCTCTGTGTCTTTTACAGCCCCAGGAGAAACACAATTAACCCGCACACCATCTGGACCCCATTCAACTGCTAGATGCCTCATCATACCCTCTAAAAACAAAAGAAAACATAGGAACCAATGGTTAGCTTCTGCTTGTTTGAGAACAAAAAAAGTATGGCATGAAAAACATCAATGCAAAAAGCTCTATGAAACATGTATGACCAGCATTTCCTCTGTTTTTCTCAGTTCTACATCAAAAACATATACTACCAATTTTTCAAAGCATATTTTTAGTTTATTATTTTATTTGAAACTTATGGAAGAATGGTTGTTTGATGGGTTTTTACTGAATAACATTGTAAAGAAGTGATTCACAGTTATAACATATTTAATATACTTTTAATCATGATAATTTGTACCAAAAATTGATATTTTATGGTTTAATTTCTTGGTTTGATTTTTGTTTCCCTTTGTCCCTCCTTTGTTTCAGATGACAGAATCTAAATGACAATAAGTATGTCAGACAAGAAAAACAAAACTCCAACCAAGGACATCTCTTCAGTCATTTAAAGCACAAAAAATATTTTTAACCTACCAATTGCAGCTTTGGCGCTTCCAGCATGACACTAAAAAGAAACAAAAGAAAATAACAGTTCACCCTGACAGCAGTTCTCAAATAACTTACTAAGAATCAGTAATCGTATCATGCATGTTTTGAGAACTGCTTTTCAAACCTTAGTGAAACCAATATTCCTTGGGGGTTCATTGAGGTTCATTACAAACAAATAAACACTTTGCAAGAAAGGTCCTTGTACACTACTCCTAACCCCTGCAGGAATATAGCGTGTTATATTACTTCACCCAAACTGTCAATTCAATTCCCCTAAACAATCTGAGAATTTCCCAGATACAAACAAACTCTGCCAACCTTCTGGACAAGGTGTCAAATGAAATATCGCAGATATGGATAAGTTTTAGCTGCATTTTGGGAATGTTCTGAGAATATTCAGGGCTCAAGAAAAGTGCTGCTGCACATTTCCTTCCGAGCACGTAACTTTTCAATCTCAAGTACCCGCTGTGTGTGGGCCCTGAATATTGATTCACAAATTTTACAGCTGAACTAGCAGAGTTCTTTGCATCTTTTGGTGGGCTGACAAAAGGTACTTTTAATAATCAATTGAAAGCAATCTCAGCTCTTTGATTGGTTGTTTTTAGATTACCATTTCCAGAGCTACTTCATTCTTGAATTTTTCAAGGGAAGGGTGGTGACACTGTTGAGGTGGTGCTGATGTTTCTTTTAAAGAATTTAAATCCCAGGAATAAATCCACCTCAAGTAAGTTAGTTTCCTCTCAAGTACATCTGCTTAACTTACTTATAGAAAAATAAGTTGACCTTAAAACCTCTATAATACCAACACCTTTAAAATACAGAGACCTCTATAATTATAATGGACAGTTCCCTTTGTCCTAGAGAATCAAGAACCCTTGAAAACAGGATTCATCTGGTATTCTTTAACTACTCTAAACCAGCTCTACAGTGCAGAGACTCTGTTCTGTTTGTTCTGTGTGTGTATTAAACAGGTTTGACTGTAATTAAGAAAAAGAAAACATGTACCATGTTGCTATTGAGTTATAGAGACACGAGTGGAAGTTTGGGAGAACGAGAAATGCTGTGGGAACACAAGCAGGCGAGTGTTTCCACAGCTATTTCAAGTTCTCCCAAACTTTCACGAGTGTTTCTATAACTTGATAGAAACACAGAGAACATGTTTTCTATTTCTTTTAGAAAACACAGTGATGAAAAAAAGGAAAACAACTTGTTTACTTTGATCATCAAAATGTAAATTCTCTATGCTTGCGCCATCATTACATCAACAGCTTGTGCTAGTTCTGTGTTTCTATCGAGTTATGGAAACACAATTTTTAACCAATCAGTGCACGTATTTCCTTAGGACTGTTTTCTAATTTGTAATACAAGTTATACTGACAATAAAAATTTTCTTTTAATCCATTTATTTTCCATGTTCTCATGAGCTTATTGTCATCTCTACAGTGCTTGTGAAATTTTATTTTGAGGTTTCCTTGGAGATGCAGATAATAATTTTGCATTGTAAAATGCTTAACAGAGCCCTTTAACTTGCAGGCCTTTAAGGTGGCCGAACACAGTTTTCAAGAGCCTATGCTTAATTCACCATTATGTTTCTTTTAATTAATGTCAGCAATTATTTCTCTATAATTTCTCTGTATATAAGACAGTAAGTTCATCTGCACATTTCTGTATACCACCTCATCATAGACACTTGCCAGATGACCTGCACCTCTTTAAAACTTCTAGTTTTGATTCATTCTTGTTAATCTGCACCTCTTTTGTTTTTAAGGCTAGGGGCATTGTTTGTGTTGTATACTTATTGTTTCATTTGGCAAATCATAAAGACCCTCTTAAACGGTGCGTGGTCACCCACACTTGCTTTTGGCTGCTCATCAAGCATTTTTGCAATTAAAATATAGATACCTTCCATTGAATTCTCTGGTGTGCAGGCTAATGGTTCCACTGTTGGTAACAGTTCTTACTGAAAACTTGACTTACTCTAGTTAGGTTACACAAACCTGTAAAGGGTGTCCATTGTAATGAAGAGTGGCTGTAATGTTAATGATACTTCCACCACCATTATTCTGCAAATATTGATAATATTCAATGTGGTATCAAAAATGGTTGATGGTATGTACAAATGATGCAAGTGGCCGCAAATGAAAATGCTTCTGGTATATGTTAATGGTATAGTATGCATATGGTTTATTCAAACACAAAGTCACTTCACTTCACACGTTCTTCATTATGTTGTGTATCAAACATAAATGATTACTTTTATCAGAAATTATGTTACAAACTGCAAATTTTCATAATTTTAAATTCATTTTAAATCAACAACTAAAGAAATATTAACTAAAGATGTCAATAAAAATGACAGTATCATCATGCAATGATCCCAGGGATGAACTTGTACACACAACAAAATAATGTTACATACACTACACAAACAAACCCAATCTTACCTTAAAGCATTTGCTGTAGATAGCTTTGCTTACATTAAAGGTTCCAAAAGCATCTATATCAAAAACTGTAAGCAAAAACTAATGATTATTATTATGAATCTCCTTCCTCTACAGAGGCTCTCTAGTGGGATCAGGGAGAAAGTGGGTTAGCACGGCTTTCTTTTGCTTCTCCCCAGTTTCTGCACTGCCAAGCTACATGGTCAAGGTAGCATGAAAGAGGCCTCTGTCTGCCTCTGATTAAATTTCATTTCATATTTTCAGTCGATTTAATATTAAATACAATAATTGTTAATTAAAATTACCTGTTTTAATTCCTTTATTGGAGAGCTGGCTTGCAGGACAAAGAAAATTTCCTGCTGCTCCTAAGATGAGAAAAAACTTTACATTTCATTATTTTCAAGGCGCACTAAAACAATAAGCCATCATGGTGATGAACACCCAGCATATCTTTTTACTTTGTATTTGCAACAAGAACAATTTATATTTAACAATTAGAACCGCAGCCCGTAGGGGCTATTGACCCGTGGCCCTTGAGGGCGAAGGGTCTAATTGTTTTAGTATCACCCAACTAGTCAGACAGAAAAGGTAATAATAACGTTAGCAAATGCAAGTTGAAGAAATATTTGTTTGGAAATAAAACGAAAGAAAACGTCACGTTCGAGGGCGCCAATTTTGCTACTCGAGGACTATTACTAATAGTCCCCTAGTAGCGTAGCCAATCAAAATGCAAGATTTGCATTAGTCCACTAGTTGGGTGATACTAATTAAATATAGACCTTTCCCGCATTCCAACAAACAATGCCTGAGTCAAGGTCAGAGTGGACAAAAGTACAGCAAATGTATGAAAATGTCCAACCCCAACCTTGCTCTGGTACTATTGTTTGTACCCACTGAAGTGGAATGCAGGAAAGGTACTTTACTTTACATGTTTGTTAATAAAATAAAATAAAAAACATAACTGAGAAAGGAATGGCTCTATGTTAAATTATTACTGACAGTAATTGTAACATTCTGAAACTTGTGTCTTGATGTAGAATTCCAGACAATTAATTTTCACATTCCCTGAAGTCCTTACACTCCATCCTAAAATCTTTGGACCATACTTGTTTAGCATCATTTCTCAGCCTCTTATCCCAGGGATTCACTAACAGGGCTTACCGTTAACTAAGATATCTATTCTTGAAAAATGCTTCAGTGCCATGTCTATGGCAGCCTCGACTTCACTCACCTGGCGATACAAACAAAACAAAACTATAACTTAGCTACTGGGATTACAGTTACTTGCCCACCAATCTTTCCTTATTCCATGACACCTGGACAGTTCCAGAAAATATCCATACTCCTCATGGAAGGTCATTGCATGTTCTGAGGGGGTGGGCAATCTCAAACACCAAAATTATTATCTAAACTGGAATTTCAAGAAGGGTGGGGTAGGAGCTTCAAACCAGAAAAATGTCCATGAGTCAGCGCTCTCCAGAAAATTTGAAGCAGACAGAGAACATGCCTGAGTAGGTCGCAATGATCATTTTCAGAGCCTCCTGAACAAAAAAAGGCGGACCTATCATTTGGGTTTTTATCAGATGTACATGAAGCATTTTGTGAAGGTGAGTTAATCAACATGACACGAGCGTGGGACAAAGAAAAATTCTGAGTCCCCGACAGGAATCGAACCCATGACCTCCCGAACACC